CCGGGATCTTCGATTCATATTTGGACAAGAACGCGGCCCCGTGACAATGGAGCATGGAATTCCAGACGAATTCTTGCAGCATTCCGCGGTCCAAAGCGGCACGCCAGGACTTGATGATGAGCCGTCCCACTGCATCTCGTTCAGCGGGCACACCCGTCAGCACCAAACGTCGCACCAATCCAGGGTGGAGGGCCGCGACGCCAAGACTGACGCGCCCACCGAAGCTGAAGCCACACAAGTCGACGGGGCCTTCAATCTTCAGGGCTGCGTGCACACGGCAAAAGTCTTCAACGTGGACGGCGAGCGAGGCATCGGACAGGTCCAAATCGGTGGTGCGTCCCTGGCCGCGCGTTTCATAAACGATGAGCCGACGTTTCCGGGACAAGCCGTGGATATGACCGACCCAGCTGGCGATGGTCTGCGCGGTACCACCGATGAGGACTAAGGGAGGGGGAACGCTGGCAGTGCCCGGATTGGAGGAGGGGAGGCCGGTGTCGAGGACACGCACATGTCGCAGCGGTTCGTCTGGCAGGGACACGTCGGGGATTTGGATGGTAAAGTCCCTTGCCTTGGAAGCTGAAACGAATGTCGGAGTAGCGGTCGCGATGGGGCGGGTGGAGTGAGGGTAGCGTCTGCCCCAAGGGGAGACGAGGCGAAAAGCCCCGGCCGCACGTACTACCGTCAACAAACAAAACAAGGAATGGGCAGAAAGCCGGGCATGCGGACGGGGCATAAGCTGTGGGCGTGGGCACGGTGGGAATGAAAGCTTGAAATCGTATCGATAAAATGCATTTGAGCGTAGTATTTTTGCGGTGGCTCTCGGAGGGAGCTAGGGGCTTTCCAGTGACGACGGCGATCATGTCCTTCTCATATCACTCAAATCAATAGACTTTTCCTGCGACAGACCCTTTGGTACACCCGCCGTGGACACGTGAATGCCTGCGATCCTAAGTTTTGCCCTGACCTAACTTATTTGTCTCCTCGGTTCACAATGCGGACAGGGAGGCCTCAGAGCAAGTGTCGCCCTTGCTGCTGGCTTGCTCCCGGAAGACCTTGTCTGGCTCGTCTCTGCAGCCAGAAAGGACAGGCGAGATAAAGGGCATTACCCGGTAATTGAGTGGGGGGTGACCTCTATAGAATCGTTGAACGATAGCGGTGTTGGAGTCGTCATCTGTGCGTGGAAAGATGTCTGGTGTCGTGGAAGCTTGAGAGACGGCTCAGGATTCAGAGACTTTCATGGAATTATCCTGGCTCCTGAGGCGATCCTTTCGGTGCAAGCATGCACAAGTCGCATTCATATTCCATATCTGGTCTCATTCCCAGGAATTAAAGATGGCATCTGTGGTGCAAAAATACATGAAGGCCTTGCGCGTGTACGGTTGGCGAGAAACGCTCTACAAGATGTACTCGGTACGTGATCACCTTCCCGGCCTCCGTCTTATTTCGTCCTGGATGTACGTGCGTTCACATTTCTCGATACCGCATCAACGTCAGCACCAGTTGAATAAAACGAATCGCGCGTCTGTGGAGCGGTCGTGTGCTTTCTTCAAAGTCAGGTCGTAGGCTCACCGCCCCCCCTGAAACTCTTCCCCTCCTCTTTCCTTCCTCATCATCCCGTGGCTCTCAGATGGGCGAAGTCAAGTTTGGGGATTTGAAAGGCGTCGACGTGAATGGGAACAAATATTTTGAAAACGTCGAGTACCCGTTTGGGCAACATCGCTGGGTGGAATACAAGGTAGGGAGAGAGAGGGAAAGGCCAGGGCGATGGAGAGAGGAGGCCTGGAACGAGGATGCACGTCCCACAGGAGGAGAGGCAAAGGCTGCACGATACCCTCCTGTCTCGTCGAGCTCACGCGCACGCTCCCCCCTAGGATATCCACAACTACGAGCCATCCAGCATCCCGCCTGAGTGGCACGGGTGGATCCATCACATGACAGACGAGGTGCCGGCTGGAAAGGCGGGGGTGACAGAGCCGGGAATGAAGATTGCGGAGGGCCAACATACCCCCTACCAGGTGAGGAAGGAGGGAGGGAGGGAAAGCGGGCGGGCGGGAAAATACGGCGGCCTCTGCGCGTGCTTCGGCCTAATTCGGAGTCTGAGTGAGTGCGTCAAGCCTAACTCAGGCCTTCAACCGCCGCCTCTATCTCTCTGTACATTATGTCTGGCAGGTGGCGGCGGGGCTGACGGACTACCAGATGGAAGGGCAATTGAACTGGACGGCCCACCGCTCGCGTGGCTACGGCGTGGGCAGCTTGCATCAAAAGGCGGGGGAGCCCGATAAGTTTTGGGTCCAGCCAGGGCACCCGCTGGCCGCAAAGAAGCAAGAAAAGGGGAAAGGCGGAAGATTCGAGGTACGCGCTGGTGGAGAGGGAAATGAGAGGGGTCGATACGGTGGTGAGGGTTATAGAGTATATTGGGGGACAGTTCGAAAGGGAGAGGGAGGCGGCGGGCGCGAGTCATGTGTACTGTGTGCAGTGCGAATAGTCCCGGGTATGAAAACGAAGGGACTCCTGTCCTGGTGGGAGATTCCGACGAGAGAGCTTCCGTGGACCATCTAAGAAGGCTATATTCTTCCCTCCTGATCCGAGCCACATTTCCCCCTTTTCGAACACTGTTTCGCATCGATGCAGGGTTTGAAAGGTTACGAGGCGTGGAACCCCTCGGATCCGGAGGGGAAGAAGACAGCGCAGCCCATTCGCTCTCTGGACGAGAACTAGGGTGGAAAAAAAACGGCGAAAACGGGAAAAACGGGGCCGGTCTTCCTGAAGGGCAAGACCGTCAGGGATGGACCGATAAAAAAGGGTGTATGCACGGTATCGTGTGACAGGGCTGAGAATGGGTACGCCAATATGTGACAGATGTGTGTGTGAGTCTCGACCCATATGCGACGTGGCATGATCGAAGGCAAAAGGAAAAAAATGAAGGATTGCTATGTTGTCGTGTACGCCATCTGATAGGCTTTTAGTCTTCCGGATGATTCCATGCCAAAGCCAATGCTACACTCTGATTGCATTCCATTCTTTCGTGCTTTTTAAATTTGATACGTGCTCAAATCCCTTCAAATGCCGCCCTCCTCCACTGTCCTCAACATATATTGCCCCGAATTGCTCAAAACCCAACAGAAATACAATTTTTTCGCAACAAAGTAAAGATAAAGTCCAGTATGTATGCCATACAATTGACTCAGATAACGTCAGCAGTGATATTTGATTTGCGTAGCATCACCTGAATCAGCTTTGCCCGTCAACCAAAGTGCTCTTGAATCTTCTCGCACGAGAAACCCCCGCCTTGGCTTTCTCGCGTCTTAGATGAAAATATTTGGTCCTTCCATACGTGCAATTGCATGCTCAATCCCCGCCATCTTGCGGCTCACCGCACCAAAGCTTTCACATGGGCCACCGTGCTAAGTATCTGAGCTGCATCCGGTCTGGGTCCCAGTATTTTGTAACACGTTAAGCCAGCGGCGGGCGAGGCTTTCCTTTGAATCCGCCGGTTGGGAGATGACCCGAACGAGTGCACTTCCACGTCCAGCAACCCCGTGGCCACGGCCTGGCATCCACAAGCATGTCAATTTAAATACACAAGTCGCTTCTTGTATCAGTGAGTAGTGCACTGTGGAGGCTGGCCAGACCTTTGGTCGCTGGGCGTAATTGTCATTTTGTAGAGAAGTCACTGGAAATCCTCCTGACATTGCTGGCTGCGCCTCCGCTTTTTTCAAAGCTCCTGTCCAGCGACGACTACCGAGACTAGCGTGCAATACTGCGCCCAATACGCCGCCGGACACGAATATAACTGGAGGATGTGCACGGTATCACTTGATTTCATTCGGTGTTCAGGGTGGGAGCCTTTTAATTAAAATTGGGCTTGTTTTTTGTCGAAGAGGTAGGAGCCTGCTGCCACGCTAGGAAGCCGGCGGACTGATTTTTTTGGTAGAGATGCTCGGCCTCGTCGGCTTCCTGGACTGCCATCGATACAAATTCACAACTGTTGGTCGCAAACTATTGAATATGCTATATTTTTATCTTTGAACGAGACAAAAAGCGTGCGTGCTTGGCGACATGCTGTCTCCGGTTCATGATGCTATATATTCGAAGGTCCCCGATGCGCTCGGCCGCCCGTCTCGCTAGTCATGCATGCGCCAAGGTCCATGATTTGACGGTCGCAAAGGCCAACATAACATTCACGTCTTGTTTCTTCTTTTAAATTTGTTGATTAAACAGGGAAGTTTTGTGGGTGCGACCATAGAAAGGCTGTTAAGTGGAGCGAAACGCCCTGTATGCCTGAACTCCGCCATGGCGTCACCTGGTCTCCCTGAGCACACAGCTTACCTTCTCATCGATGGCCAGCACATGCACTCCAGTTTGCAAGCAGCAGGTCGGTATTCTTGCAAGTCTTGCTCTCTTATGATGATCGTGTAAAAATAAAATGTTTGAAGTCAGAAATTCGGAAGCGGAGGGGGTTGCATTCATCCTGCACTAGCTTTCAGGTGCCTGGTGGTCTTTGAAACTGACTCTTTCACCTGCCATTAACGACTCCTACCTCCACAACAATAAATTCATGCAGGAATAGCCTCGTTCCGGCACGTGGTAAAGGCCTTCGAGATCGCCTATCGGTGTACAGTCCATGGGACGACATGGCAAGGACCCGCCTGCTCCGCCAGCTCATCATCATTTCCTCTGGACGGAGCCTCTCCTGCAGGGGGGCACGTGCCGGGAGAGGGTAGGTCTTCCTGTACAAACGAAGGGGACGAAGTAGTCAGGCAGCACGAAAAAATCCCCTTTCCTAAGGAATCGGGCCTTGCCTCGGCCCTGGCCGCCTTTTCGGGCGCGTGCGACGGAGAACAAGACAAAAGCCTGGCAATTCTCGTCTCTGGCGATGGAACATTGAGCAAAACATTGCTGCAATCGACAAGGAAGGTTGCAGTGTGCGGGTCGCGGGGTTCCTTGGCGCCCTCCCTGCTGCCCTGGGTACGTGTCCTGGCCGACGGAGGACTTTTCCTAGAGGACGTCCTCGGCTTGGCGCAGGGCCTCATTCGCGAGGACTTTACCGCACGAGCGACACAAAATTTCCAGCAGGGGCCATCGAGGATGATTCCTCAGCCACAGCAAGCGCAGTTCATGCAGCAATGGCAACAACAGCAGGCTCTTGACGTCCATGATCGCCGTATACCCCAATGCTTGTTGCCCTCAGTACCAGCCAGCCATCTTCCAGAGAGCCGGAGCACGGCCCCCTCGACTCCGACCCTGGTGCCAAGCCTGCATGCCGTAAAAGGGGACTTTACGAACGACGCCCAACCCTGGCCCCGGTCGAGGCTCCCTCTCCTACAGCAGAGCATGGCCGAGGGCCTGCCGCCCGGGCTCGGCGGCGACACCAGCCGTGTGGAATGCGGTCAAAACGGGTCACGGACTGATCTGCTGGCGAAGATGAATCTGGGCTCTGGGTCCTCCCTCCCATCGCGGCAACGACATGCATTGCTACAACAGGCACAAGAGCAGCTGCGTATGCCGCCAGATACGCAGCCGTTACATAGCACAGGACATGGCAGCATGCCAAGTGAAAGAAATCATGGAAAGCCAAGCATGTCTGTCTCTGAGTCGAATGAGGCAATTGCCTGCCTGCACGCACCGGCGAGCGGCGAGAAGGAGGACAAAGATCGATTGAAACGCCACAGGTCACCCAAACTTCGTCTCCGCTGT